AAGAAATGCTGTTTTTACATCTAATTGTTCAAGATGTAAATTTTCTGCAGCTACTATCCCCAGAACAACTCTGATTGTTGTAAGCTTCACAACTGGAGAAAATATCTCAGAATAGTCGATCCCCTTCTTTTGCTGAAACCCTTTTACAACAAGTCTTGCTTTGAACCGTTTGCTTCCGTCATGCTCGGTCTTTACTCTGTAAACCCACTTGTTTTGCAGGGCCTTCTTTCCTTCAGGCAGTTTGGTTAACTCCCAAGTCTTGTTCTTCAGCAATGACTCCATCTCATCCTTCATGGCTAACTCCCACTTGCTCGAGTTTCCATCTTGTAAGGATTCTTCATAATTTAATGGTTCACCACCATCGGTCAGCAAGATATAATTCAGTAGAAGTGTGAACCGTTGTGGAGGCTTTATAGTCCTGGAAGACCTGCGAACAGCTGGTTCACTTGGCTCTACACTATCTTGTGTAGAAGTGGTGGGTACTGAAGTGCTTGAACTGTCTTGTATGGACTCTTGAGTGGTAACATCAGGAAGCCCTTCTAATTGTATGAATTCAGATTTCTGTGGACTCGTATCTGAATCAGTTATCTCTAGTTCTGTACTTGATTTGTCTTTGTACAAAACTTTCTCGTTGAAGATCACGTTCCTGCTTCTGATAATCTTCCTGTTCTGATCATCCCAGAACCGAAATCCAAATTCTTCATCTCCATAGCCAATAAAGAAACATTTCTTTGATTTGGCATCCAGCTTGTTGCGAGCATCAGAGTCTACATGTACATAGGAAACACACCCAAAGACTTTTAGGTGAGCAAGCTGTACTTCTTTTCCTCTCCAGACTTCCTCGGGCAGTCTGAACTCCAAAGGTACTGATGGTCCACGGTTGATCAAGTAAACTGCAGTATGAACTGCATCAGCCCAAAATGTTTGAGGTAGCCCAGAATGCAACCTCATGCTTCTAGCTCGTTCATTGATGGTCCGGTTCATCCGTTCAGCAATACCATTCTGTTGTGGTGTGCCTGGAACTGTCTTTTCCATTCTGATACCGTTGACAGCGCAATACTCCTTGAAACCTCCATCAATGTATTCTCCTCCATTATCAGATCGTAAGCATTTCAGCTTCAAGCCTGATTCAGTCTCAACCATAGCCTTCCATTTCTTGAATGTGTCAAACACATCAGATTTATTTTTCAGAAAGTAGACCCATACCTTTCTGCTAAAGTCATCAATAAAAGTGACATAGTACCGAGAACCGCCAAGAGATGCTACTGGAGCTGGTCCCCATAAATCTGTGTGCACCAGTTCTAGTTTTCTTGGTCTTAAGGTCCTGCCAACCTTTAAGAAACTGAGCTTCTTCTGTTTTCCGAGAACACAGCTTTCACAAATGTCTAGATCAACATTTTTTAATTCTGGCAGCTTTCCCTTTGACTGAAGTATCTTCATCCCCTTTTGACTCATATGGCCGAGTCTACAATGCCATAGCTGCGCCTGATTTTCTGCTTCAGTAGAGGCAATTATATCTGCTGATCTTGTGGTCATATACAGGGTGCCGGTTTTCTTTCCACGAGCCAAAACCATTGCTCCCTTTGATACCTTCCACATTCCTCCAGAGAAAAGGATTGAATGGCCACTATCATCAAGTTGTCCGACCGAGATCAACTTCTTCTTTAGTTCAGGAACATGCCTTACATTTTGCAAGTTCCATGTAGATCCATTCATTGTCTTGATTTGCACATCTCCTATACCCACAATCTCCAATGGTTGTCCATCGGCCAGATAGACTACCCCATAATTTCCAGCAGTGTAATTTTGCATCATTTCATGGTGTGGAGTACAGTGAAATGAAGCTCCAGAATCAAGAACCCAATCATCAATAGGACTATGTACAGCAAGAATCAAAGCATCTTGTACCTCGTCTGTAGTGGCGTTTGCAGAATCAGCTTCAGGTTTCTTTGGTTTTGTGCAACTCCTCATAAAATGGCCAGGTTTGCCACAATTCCAACATTCAATCTGCTTCCTGGGTCCAAACTTGCTTTTGCTTCTGTACCTGGATTTTGATCTGCCTCTGGATAAGCCTCTGTCTTGTCTCCTTCCTCGAGTGTTGATGTTGAAAGCTGAACCTGAACTTGAGCTTTCACCCGAGTCTTTTCTTCGTACTTCTTCAGCTAAAATCAGGTCTCGGATATCATCATACTTTAATTTGGATTTTCCAGCTGAGTTGCTTACGGCTGTTCTCATACCTTCCCAACTGCTTGGAAGTGAAGCTAGCAAAATAAGTGCTCGGATCTCATCATCAAACTCAATTTCAACGGATGACAATTGATTTGTGATGGTGTTGAAATTATTAAGATGCTGTGTAACAGAGGTGCTTTCTGTCATCTTCAGGTTGAACAGCTTCTTCATCAAGTGCACTTTGTTATTTGCTGATGGCTTCTCATACATCCCAGACAAGGCTTCCATCAATCTTGCTGTGGATTTCTCTTTTGTAACATTATGAGCAACTCTTCTTGACAATGATAGCCGGATAATGCCCAAGACTTGTCTATCAAGTATTTGCCAATCTTCTTCTGACATGTTTTCTGGCTTGCTCCCCAACAGAGGAAGATGAAGTTTCTTCCCATATAGATAATCTTCAATTTGCATTTTCCAATATCCAAAATCAGTTCCATCAAATTTTTCAATTCCTACAGCCTTTATTTCATCAGCCATTTTTACTCTTTCTCAGATTTGAATCTCAAAAATCTGACCTTACAGATGTGTCCGGAATGGCCAAAAATGCTGGAAACGACACTGAGATCACCCAAATCGGACTTCGGATGGCTCCGATTTAAGCAATCAAAGTTTGGGATAACAGGACGCTGCAGATGAAGCCACGTGGCAGGCGGAATAGTCGCTGCGCCACACCGGATCAAAACCCAGTTATGCTGACGTGTCAGGATGACGTGGCACACACGTAGGCAATGTGGGGTCCACCGAATCTGACGTGGCAGACCCGCGGAGATTTTTGGCTGACGTGGCAGTACTGACGTGGCAAGGATGACGTGGCGGCTTGACCGGTCAGACTGCTGACGTGGCAGGGGCGCGCGGCTGCTGACTGTGCTGGACGGCTGACGTGGCTGATGACGTGGCAGTGTCGATTTGCAGGAATTGGCGAGGAAGACGCGTGACGCGCGTACGGCGCGTCTGTGCGCGTGGGCAGTCCTGGTGGTGGCGCGTGTAGGCGCGTGCGGGCATGCAGGACGTCGGATTTTCGCCGGGTTTTCACCAGTGGATTCCTCTCGTCGTCCTCTTCACGGTGGTATGTTCAAAAACACGTTTTGAGAACTTTGATTTTTGAGTTTGGATCAAACACCCTCTTTTTCAAGAACTTTCAAGAACAAGCTCTGATACCAGTTGTTAGGAGATCCAAACATTCAAACACACACAAATTTACGTGGTTCGGCAACTTGCCTACTCCACGGAGCTACTGGTTTGTATTAATCAAGCTCAAAAGCAATACAAACAACAAAACAAGGAGGAGGAGAAAACTTCTCAACTCAACTCAACTCTCACCCTTAGCTCTCTCTCTGTGTTTCTCTCTATCTCGTGATCTATCTCAGCTATCAATACATCTTCTATTTATAGCTGAGGAGGGAGATGATTGTTCAACAATGGTGGGCAAGTTAGGCACCTACCATTTGACTATAATTTCAACCATGGCTGCCACCAAACATGGTTGCCCCCTACCATGGCTGCCACCATCCATTTGTGTCCACACACATAACAAAGACACTATCTTATCCCTCTACATTACTACATCATATATACATGTCATGAGAGAGTGTTGGGTATATCAGCTTAGAGTATAGACAAAAACCTACTCTTAATAACTTGCGATAAGATTGAAATGATAAAACGATGAGTTTTTCACAACTCAATGAATTAATAAATAGAACCAAACATACAATAAGAGACTAAGTTGTAATGTGATTAATTTATTAGGTCAATACATGATAATAATAATATAACTAAGCATGCCAATAACACATAAATATAGTTAAAGTTATGTTATTCTTCTTGAGTGCTAAAAATTAGAAAATCAGATATAAGAATTAAGAGGGGAAGAAAATGTGTTCACATCAAGGTAAAAGTATCATAACAAATTAATATGTATGATAAAAAATTAATTAGCATTCTTATTTAGAATATTTTACGGATAATTTAATTTTACCATTGCAGCAGACATGGTATTCGCATGAACTCTAGCTTTCCCTCATCGAATTACTCTTAACAACAATCTAAGTCTGTACAAGAAAGAAAGAATATATTGAAGTGATCAAATTGCTAGAAAAAACTTTCGAGATTAAAGTTTCTTTCATAGAATTCCTCGCTTTTTATCACCCTTTATTTACTTTTCTGCTTGCTTGTCAAGCACGAGAATTTAGAGAAAAAGCAAAAGTGAGAAGACTTGACATTGTAGAGACCTATATCCGTTCATAGTATGCACAAGGCAGTGTGCATGTGAACGCAGGACTTTCCAGTTAATGTCGCAAACTATGATATGGAAAGGGGAAAGGAAGTTGAGATGGAATTTGATCCTACTGGAAATAGCTTTGAAAATAAATAATTAATCCCTATGATCTTAAATCTATTTGTAATTTGATCCTTTTCTCCATTTCATGATCTTTTTCAATTTATTTTATTTCTTTATATGAAATAGTAAAATGGAAAAAAAGATAAGATGGAAAATTTAATAAATTTATTTTATCTTCTTAAAGCCAGGATGAGTGTTTAATTCATTTTACAGAGGGATTGAAAATAATAATAAATTTATTTATTTAAATTTTATGCACTATTACTAGCCTAGTTAATTTCAACTTAACTAGAGAAGATATGTAATAATCAATGATTTTTTTAAAAAAACCATTCTAATCACGTTTTCCTACCTATAAATAGTACTTCTCCATGGAAGAACCTCATCTACCATAGCAAACCATATCCTATATCTCTTGAAAAAACACACCATGACGACGTCCTTACTAAACAATCCATTCTTCTCCTCCTTTCTCCACATCCTGTTTTTGCTCCTTCACATATTCAACTCTTCTTCTTTCTTTGCTCTAGCTGAACACACTTCCTCCACAACTTCGCTATCTGGTAATAATAATACAGAAGCTAAGGCTCTTCTCCAATGGAAAGCCAGTCTTGACAACCAAAGCCAATCTGTCCTTTCTTCTTGGGTCGGCATCAGCCCTTGCATTAACTGGATTGGAATCACCTGTGGCAATTCTGGAAGCGTCACCAATTTGACACTTGAAAGTTTTGGCTTGAGAGGTACGCTTGATGATTTCAACTTCTCGACCTTCCGTAATCTTTTTGTTCTTGACCTTGCGAACAATTCTCTTTCTGGAACCATCCCACATGAAATTGGGAAATTAAGAAACTTAGCTCTCCTTAATCTCTACGTGAACCAACTTTCTGGCTCCATTCCTCGAGAAATTGGGTTGTTAGAGTCTCTCAATGAACTTAACTTGGCAAGTAATGTTTTAACCGGTAGAATCCCTTATTCCATTGGAAAATTAAGAAATTTATCTTTCCTAGCTCTGTCTACGAACGAACTCTCTGGTCCCATCCCTTCTTCTATTGGAAACTTGACAAACCTATCTGAGCTTTATCTTTGGGATAACAAACTCTCTGGTCCTATCCCTTCTTCTATTGGAAACTTGACAAGCTTATTCCTACTCTATGTTTGGGGTAACAAACTTTCTGGTTCCATTCCTCAGGAAATTATGTTGTTAGAGTCTCTCAATTACCTTGACTTGTCGAGTAATATTTTAACCGGTAGAATCCCTTATTCCATTGGAAAATTAAAAAAATTATCTTTTCTTGGTCTTTCTTATAACCAACTCTCTGGTCCCATCCCTTCTTCTATTAGAAACTTAACAAGCATATCTGAGCTCTATCTTGGGCATAACAAACTCTCTAGTCCCATTCCTCAGGAAATTGGGTTGCTAGAATCTCTCTATCACCTTGCCTTGTCAGGTAACAAATTTCACGGCCCATTGCCCTCAGAGATGAACAATCTCACCCATTTGAAGGTTTTGGTTTTGGATACCAACGAATTCACGGGTCATTTGCTGGCAGATTTATGCCATGGAGGAGTATTGAAAATCTTTACTGCTTCCCACAACTACTTCTCAGGTTCAATCCCGGAAAGCTTGAAAAACTGTACTGGTTTACACCGACTAAGACTTGACTGGAATCAGTTAACAGGAAATATTTCTGAGGTTTTTGGTGTCTATCCACGTCTGCGTTATATTGATTTGAGTTACAATAATTTTTATGGTGAGCTCTCTTCAAAATGGGGAGATTGTCGTAACATGACAAGCCTAAAAATCTCAAACAATAATGTTTCTGGTGAGATACCACCAGAGCTTGGGAAGGCTACTCAATTACAAGTGATAGATGTGTCATCAAATCAGTTAAAAGGAGCTATCCCAAAAGATTTAGGGGGTTTGAAGTTGTTGTACAAGCTTCTCCTTAACAACAACAATCTTTCAGGTGCCATTCCCTTAGATATTAAGATGCTTTCCAATCTTCAATTCCTTAATTTAGCATCTAATAATCTGAGTGGATTGATTCCAAAACAACTTTGTGAATGCTCGAATTTATTGTTGCTGAACCTCAGCGGTAATAAATTTAGAGAAAGCATTCCAGGTGAGATAGGCTTTCTACTTTCTCTTCGAGATCTTGATCTTAGCTGCAATTTCCTGACTCGAGAGATACCGAGGCAACTTGGGCAACTGCAAAGGTTGGAAACTCTGAATGTCTCTCACAACATGCTTTCTGGACGGATTCCGAGCACTTTCAAAGACATGTTAAGCTTAACAACTGTGGATATATCATCCAATAAGCTACAAGGCCCGATCCCCGATATCAAAGCCTTCCACAACGCTTCATTTGAGGCATTAAGGGATAATATGGGTATCTGTGGCAACGCCAGTGGTCTAAAGCCGTGCATTCTTCCAAGAAGCAGCAAAACTGTCAAGAGAAAGAGCAACAAGCTTGTGGTTTTGATTGTACTTCCTCTTTTAGGAAGCTTGCTTTTAGTGCTTGTTGTGATTGGAGCTTTATTCATTCTCTGCAAAAGAGCTAGGAAGAGAATCGCTGAGCCAGAAAATGAACAAGATCGAAACATATTCACGATATTGGGCCATGATGGGAAGAAGTTGTATGAGAACATCGTTGAAGCTACGGAGGAATTCAACTCCAACTACTGCATTGGCGAAGGAGGATATGGGACTGTTTATAAAGCAGTGATGCCAGCAGAACAGGTGGTTGCTGTGAAGAAACTTCACCGGTCACAAACAGAAAAGTTGTCCGATTTTAAAGCTTTTGAAAAGGAAGTTTGCGTGTTGGCAAATATTCGACATCGAAATATTGTGAAAATGTATGGATTTTGCTCACATGCAAAGCATTCTTTTTTGGTTTACGAGTTCATTGAAAGAGGAAGCTTGAGAAAGATTATAAGCAGTGAGGAACAAGCAATTGAGTTAGATTGGATGAAAAGGCTAAACGTTGTGAAAGGGGTGGGTGGAGCTTTATCCTATCTACACCATTCTTGCTCTCCTCCGATCATTCATCGAGACATTACCAGCAATAATATCCTTCTGGACATGGAATATGAAGCACACGTCTCCGACTTTGGCACAGCTAGATTGTTGATGCCTGACTCATCCAACTGGACCTCATTTGCAGGTACTTTTGGATATACTGCTCCAGGTGCGTAGCTTTATTCCAACATTAAGTTACTATATAATGTGTAATAGTGAAGATAATATATAGTGTTTTTTTAGCTTTTCTTATAGAGTCTTTTTTTCATCTATTTGATAAAAAACCATGCATAATCATGTTTATTTGGCAGAGCTAGCTTACACAATGAAGGTGACTGAAAAATGCGATGTCTACAGCTTCGGAGTGGTAACAATGGAGGTGATGACAGGAAGGCACCCAGGCGATCTCATTTCAGCACTCCTATCACCAGGATCTTCGTCATCATCGTCGATGCCACCGATTGCTCAGCATACTCTATTGAAGGATGTGTTAGACCACCGCATCTCGCTTCCTAAAAAAGAAGCAGCAGAGGGCGTTGTCCACATGATGAAAATTGCACTTGCATGCTTGCAACCCAATCCCCAATCTCGGCCTACAATGGAAAAAATTTCTTTCGAGCTGACAACCAAGTGGCCTCCACTGCCCAAGGCATTTTCCACAATAAGTTTGGGAGATCTCTTCTCCACTGCCTAAGGCTACTTCTATTCGATTATCTAAGATCTCTTCTCCACATGAATTTTATCATCAAACTTTTTTTCACACTAAGTGGCCTCCGCTGCCTAAGGCATTTTGCACAATAAGTTTGGGAGATCTCTTAATCTCATAGTGTATAACTACTTCTATTCGATTATCAATTGGAACGATAATTATTTGTAATATGAACTTCATTTCTTTCAAATTATGATGGCACTGTTTTATGCGTTAGAATTTGTTTTTCTTTGCATGAAGGGTTTGAGAATATTTGTAATATTTTGATCAATACACTACGGAATGAAACAATTAAAAAAAAAAAAAACAAGAGCTTCGATCAGTAGGCAAAATAATCTTGATGTTGAAGGTAGCAACCAATGAATTTCCAACTTGATGTTGAATTTTCTAATGAAATGAATTTCCATCATTTCATTACAAAATTCAAACCCAAAGAACAGTCTACTGGTTGGTGAAACTTTCATTGTGGAATCTTGTAGATAATTGCCCTCATTCCCAATACAAGGAGACATTGACCATCGATAAAGGCTGCCATTCAACCATGATGAGCTGGATTGAAGCTTCAATAATACCATTCAATGTATTTTTTTTAAAAAAATACATTGAATAAACGTAGAAAAATAAATAAAATAATATAAAATCAAATCAAATATAAAATTAATATAAAAAATAAAAATAGTTTTTATATAAAAAATATAAAAATTAATTAGGATTTCCATTTAGGATATTTCAAGGGTAGTTTAAATATATAAAAAAATTAATTAGAATTTATGTTTAGAATATTGTAAACATAATTTAAATTTTTTAATAAAAATAAAAAAAATAGCTTTTCTATTTAGAATAAAATAAAATATAAGAAATTAGTCTTGCATTGTTACTAGATCCAAATCACTTAAGTTTAGCATGGATATAAAATTCAAAATACTTAAAATATTTTCTATGTATTTAATATTTTTTTAAAAAATTAATATTAACCCATTGGATAACGCAGCACTGGCAACAACTCAAGGAGACACGAAATGCCAATTCTTTTAGAGAAGATTTGATAGGCCACTACGAAGAGCTGTTTTTGTATGATTTTATTATTAGGTATTTCTGAATAATGTTTTTCCAGCTCCAATGTATTTCTTAAGACCTCTAGGAAAAATCAGGGTCTAAAAGAATCTCTCTACATGGTTTGCAAACGTACCGTCAATGGGGCTGTCAGTTTTGTGAGTTTTTCTCAAATAATTCTCCTTTAATCTTGTTGTAATTCAAGAATAAGTTGTTCTTGATGATATGTATGTTGTATCCCTTAGTTGAATCTGAGGAAGAATGATTGTGAACCCATTATTTGTTGATAGTGGAAGTTTTTAGGTGGACTACCGTCCCGTGGTTTTTCTCGCATCGGGTTTTCTACGTTAAAATCTTAGTGTTGATTTTGTGATTATTTGCATTATATTTTATCATTGTTTGATTCTGTTTTACTGCACAAAGAAAGAAAGAATTAGGACTTGTGAATTGTGAATTGTAGTCCGCTGAATTGATCCGGGTAAATTGATGTCCGGTTGTTCATAGTTTTTCCCAACATAATTAAGTAGAAACTCAAATGTTCTCCACTGTGAATCACCCCAACACGCTTAACCTCATGATTCAAGAGGTACTTGTTGTCTCATTTCCTTGTGGCATATTTAAAGAGATTTAACTCTACCTACCTTTAAAATAACAATTTAGAAACTGAAAGCAATGCATATGGGGGGAGAGACAAGCCAGGGTACATATATTGTAAGGACTATGGACACCACCTATCTCCATATTGGTATGATATTGTTCACTTTGGGCCTAAACTCTCATGGATTTGCTCTTGGACTATACCCAAAAGGCCTCATACCAATGAAGATATTTGACCATTCTTATATACCCTTGATCCTCCCCATTTCTAACCAATGTGGGACTTTGGTCGCATACCCAACAATCCTCCCCTCGAACAAAGGACCACCGAGCCTCTCCTCAAATGATTATTTTTCCATCCACTCTCTACCAACTAGGATTCTTCATTCTCTACTTCTCTCTACTTCATCGTGTTGGAGTCAGGACACGTCCATGAAGCATCTGGAGAGCACTACCTGACATGAGAGTTTTTGCTCTTTCTAGGTCAACTCCTCTTCATTGTGTTGGAATCAAGACACGTCCATGAAGCATTCAAAGCACACCACCTATCCAATAAAGCTGATCCATGGATTAACATCGTGATCTAATTAGGACCCACCACCTTTTATTCTACATTCTGAGGATTCATCCATCATGGCTAACTCTAGGGCATGGTTCTGATACCACTTGTAAGGACTATGGACACCACCTATCTCCATATTGGTATGATATTGTCCACTTTGGGCCTAAGCCCTCATGGATTTGCTATTGGGTTATACCCAAAAGGCCACATACCAATGAAGATATTTGTTCATTCTTATATACCATTGATCCTCCCCATTTCTAACCAATGTGGGACTTTGGTCGCATACCCAACAATCCTCCCCTATGAATTGTTGGTATAATTTATACTATAATTTATTGTCTTTTTCCCCTCACTCTTCCTATAAATAGGCAATACCTCCAAGCTTATTATTCACACCAAAGAAGAGAAGTGAAGAGTAGAGAGAAGAGAGAGTAATTCCACAAAATTGTGAGGTATTTGTGAGAGAGTAAGTGAGGTGTTTTCTCCTAGTAATTGAGAGATTTTAGTTGTTCTCCTATTACTTGAGAGAGGTTGTAATTCTCATATTACTTAGTAAAATTCTTCTGTACTTGTTTGTGGACGTAGCCTGAATTGGGTGAACCACGTAAATTCTTGTGTGTCTCATTTCTCATTTTATCCTATTCCTTGTCTTTTGTCTTGTCGGGTTTACATGTCAGCATCCTAACAGTGGTATCAGAGCCTTTTGGTTGGTGTTGTTAATACACAAAAGTTATTAGTGTATACGGTTACTATTAACATCTACGACACTATTCATATATACGTCGCTATACATCTATACGATACTGTTTAAATTGTTACTATTGGTGTATATAGAAAAGAAGTGCGGTGATTAAATACAATCAAGAAGTTCTGTCTAAGGATATTGGGTTTTAAGCGGGACTGTTTGTGACCCCTCCAATCTTTCCTAGGAACTTCCTTAGTGAAGTATTATTCACACGATACAATTTATATATATGTTGCAAATCAGTGAAACAGTGATAGTTGAATAGATCTCGGTGAATATAATGGCAACCAAGTACGAGATTGAGAGGTTTAAATGGAGCAATTTCTCACCATGGAAAATGAGAATCAAGGCAATTTTAAGGAAAGACAATTGTTTGACAGCAATTGGAGATCGGCCCGAGGAGATCACTGATAATAGAAAATGAAATGAGATGGATGGCAATGCTATTTCTAACATACATTTAGCATTAGCCAATGAAGTATTATCAAGTGTGGCGGAGAAGAAAATAACTTAGGAGATATGAGAGACTCTAACAAAGTTATACAAGTCCAAGTCTTTACACAACGAGATTTTCTTCAAGCGGAGACTTTATACCCTTCGAATGGCAAAAACCACGTCGGTGACTAACCACATCAACATAATAAGAACTCTATTTTCACAACTCACTATGTTGGGTCAACAAATAGAGAAAAATGAACGTGTAGAGCTTCTACTTCAAAGTCTTCCTAATTCGTATGATCAGCTTATTATCAACTTAACAAATAATATCCTCTCAGACTATTTAGTCTTCGATGATGTTTCAGCCGCTATCTTAAACGAAAAAAATAGGCACGAAAACAAAGGAGATAGAAACAGTTCAAACCAAGCAGAGGCATTGTTGCTGTCAAGAGGAAGATCAATAGAGCGTGGCTCCAGTGGGAGTCAAAGGCAGTGGAGGTCCAAAACAAGAAGTAAGAAGACTGTGAAATGCTACAGTTGTGGCAAAAAACAGCACTTCAAAAAGGATTGTTGGTTTAAAAAGAGTATAGAGAATACTATAGAGTCATCAAAACCTCAAGGATGTGTTGCAAGCACCTCCAAAGATAGAGAGGTTTTATATAGTGAAGCAGCAACAATCTCTACATATAGAGAAGAGCTCATTGAGGTCTGGCTAATGGATTCAAGAGCAACATGGCATATGACTCCTAATCGAGATTGGTTCCATACATATAAACCCATCTCTAGAGGTAAAGTATTCATGGGTGATAATCATGCTTTAAAGATTGTTGGCATTGGCATCATCAAATTGAAGATGTATAATGGCTTAATTCATACTATTTCAGAAGTGCGACATGTGAAAGACTTAAAGAAGAATCTTTTATCCATAGGATAATTTGATAGTATTGGCTGTAAGATTCGAATAGATAATGGAATCATGAAAATCATCAAAGGAGCGCTGGTGGTTTTAAAAGCAAGAAAGACAGTTGCAAATATATTTGTTATAATGGGAGAAACACATCTTGAGGCAGAAGAGTCAATCGCATCAGCCAATCCTGCAGAAGAGAAGACAATGATGTGGCATCAAAAACTAGGTCACATGTCAAAGAAAGGTTTAAAGGTTCTCTCTGATCAGAAGTTACTCCCTAGGCTTACAAAGGTTACTTTACCTTTTTGTGAGCACTATGTTACAAGTAAACAACAACTAAGAGTAAATGCATCTTAGACCTGATTCACTCTGATATTTGGCAAGCACCAGTTGTATCCTTGGGAGGAGAAAGATACTTTGTATCATTCATAGATGAATTCTCCAGGAGATGTTAGGTGTATCCAATTAGAAGGAAGACAGATGTGCTTGTAGTCTTTAAAACTTTCAAAGCGCGGGTGAAACTTGAATCTGAAAAGAAGATCAAGTATTTGACGATTGACAATGGAGGAGAATATACTAGTGATGAATTTGATAACTTTAGTCAATATAAAGGTATCAAAAGGCACTTCACAACGGCATACACTCCACAACAAAATGGAGTGGTAGAGCAGATGAACAGAACTCTATTAGAAAGAACAAGAGCAATGTTGAAGGCTGTAGGTCTAGGAAAGTCATTTTAGGTAGAAGCAGTCAATACCGCCTGTTATGTGATAAATCGATCTCCATCAACTGCAATTGAGCTGAAGATACCGATGGAGATGTGGACTGGAAAATGAGTTGATTATTCTCGATTGCATATATTTAGAAGTCCTGTGTACGTGATTTACAATATATAAGAAGTTAG